ATTGGACTTTTATTTTATTTTATCTTATATATTTTATTGGACACAACCCGAGCTGTAATTGAATTTACACGCTCGCAATATCAAAATAACAATAAGTTCATTATTATAGTTTCAGACCTAAAAATATATTATATTTATATCTGTGTGATAGGCAACATAATGTAGACTATTACCTGTTAATAGATAGACTGCATTTTACTTATTTCTGGGTATTTGCATTGGCATCTATTTGATCTGATATCTGATGAGGATTTTGGCTTTTTTTAACTATTTGATTGCTTTCCATGAGGCACAATGTGCCAATTGTGAGGGCTATGCCAAACTGGATCCAAAGTATCCTGGCTTGCCAATGTGCCATGATATAATTTTTTATAAATAAATTATTTCATGGCTATACATGCAGCCCAAAGTATTTTGACACTGTCATAAAGGGGGTTACACATGTAGTAAAGGGGTGTTACACTTATGTTTTTAATAGTGAATGCCGTAATTAATTTCTACTTTCTACCATCAAAATTGGAATAGTTTTGACCATCAAAATCACCAAACCAATTTAGGCTGCATGTATATTCATGGCTGAGTGGAATGTAAAAAGTGAAATTAATGTATGTTTTTTTTTGGTCAACAAGTAGGGTAGCAGGTTTATTTATGCATTTTTGAAGCAATTTATTAAACTACTTAATCAATGCACCATTTGAATATGAGGACATAGTGTCAAATTGCAATATATTTTTTGCTTTGAGTTTACATGGAAAAATTCAGAGTAAAAAAAATAATTATGTATATATCAAATAGTTTGCTATCTTGTCCATATAATTAATTTTGCAGCCAAAAAACTTTAAGAAAGCTTCATGCAATTGGACCTGATGATAATTACATATTAGTATTTAAATAATGTGGTCTACATAGTAGATTATGTTAATTATTGTATTATATATAAGATTTTTTATTATTCATAAATTAATAATTAAAATTCATGCATTACCACAAAGACATGAGCTTCTTAAGCAGTAGTGCATTGCTGTTAATATCAAACAATTAGAATTTATACCAGATGTCAAAAATTCAACTGAATTAATGTTGAGCAGAGTCCAAGATTGCAAAAGGCTGTATTCTTATTTTTTTATTAAAAAAATTAAATTATAAATCCCTTTAATAATATAAACGGTTCATAATGTTGCATGAGTGAATTAACATAAATACAGGTTGGTAAACAACTAAATAAAATATTTCTTTGAAGTAATAAATATATTGTAAAATTGATTTATCTTATTTGTAGCATTTCAAGAAAGTTATGGATTACATATCAGTCCATTTGTATCCTACACCTACATTCAATGTATTTAATTTTTTGTTGGATAAAATAGATATGATTGACAATTCAAACATAAAACCGATAAAAAATGCAGAAGAAAACTCTAAAAATATTATTCAACAACTGATGATTGAATTTACATATTGCCACCAATAAATCATTTGTTTAAAATTCATAATTAAATGGTTATGGATCCTAGATTGAAAATGAGTTATTATAAAGAGATTTGCATATTTGGAAGCAGAAAAGATAGATAGTAAATAATAATTGGGAGCAAATTTTGCAGATGATGATCTTTTTTAAAAGCAAGATATTAATACCAAATTTTGTAGAACAAGGTGAGTTTTCACTGAATTATTTGTTGAGTTGTTGTGTATCTGAAGTCATGCTGCAACTAGAAATTTGTTAAATGAAGAATTGAAGGCTCTTCATGGCCACAGCTCGCAAAAGTTACAGTCGGGTATTAGATCTGGCATATGGTGGACGGACACTAACAGTGCATTTTATTGTGGTGAATAAGATACATGAATTATTATAACTGTTGAAATAATGCCAGGATAGATAATGATGATCTATTTTATTTTTTTTGTTTTCTTTTCATAATTTAAAACACAGGCCAAGTAATGAGAATTGATTTGATGGGGAGTTTAGAGTTCGTTCAATGCAAGTAATTATTATATTTATATCAATTAAATTTAAACAATTATATTTATTGATTTTATAGAGTAGTGGGTGAATGAGGCATATGTTTCGGAAGGAGTGTTATCCAGGTACCATAGTGATTGGTATCTTTGTAACCCAATCCAAAGACAAATTTATTAGTTTTGCACTAAATAGAGTCCTAATCATTTGAACATAATATCATCCTAATAGATGAAAAGATATATATTCTAATTTGATTCGATTTTTCAGAAATTGATGAAATGAACCAATCCAACAAATTGAAAATAGACATAATGAATTAAAAATTGACAATTGTATTATCATTTTTTTTTTGTAAATTATATAATTATTTTATCATTATTATTATATATAGACTGAATTGGACTGTGAACCAAATTTATCTGGTTTTGGTATCAATGACTATCTGGACTGTTTTGACAGTTAAATTTGTTCAATTTAATTTTTAAAAATATTATAATTCAATTCAAATTATTAATATATTTCAAAAGAATATATGCTTTATATATATATATTAATTCAAAATTCATTCATTGTCTCTGAATGCTTATTTCTTTTAAAATCCAACTTTTTAACAAATAATTGCAAGAACAGTTATTGAGACGAATTCATTCTTTCAATAGTTAGAGTTCTATAATACTTAATTCGAATTATTCGTTTTATTAGAATAAACTTTTGATGTAATTTGAATGCTCAAATTCATAATTCAATTCGAATAAATTTTCAATGTAGTTTGAATACTCAAATTTATAATGAAATAATTCGAATAAACCTTATTTGAATAGAAACCCTATCTACAGTCCAGGTCACGGTCCCAGCAGACTGGTCCTTTGGTTAAGCTGGCGATCTTTGAATTGGACCATTAATAACCCTAATTATAAATAAATATTGTTATTTTTTTATCTTTATTAGTTATATATTATTATGTTAAATATTACTAATTAGTTCTAATGTTATTTGTCATTTGGCGATATATAAGGGTTTGGATAATAATACATGATATGATGTCCACGTTATGATTTTTTTCTTAAATTAAAATTCATAGAAACACCAAGATTATGACCTTTTTTCAAAGAGGGAACGTTGATTGATATGCATTTTATAGTGAACGAACCATCAGTTAACTTTATCTAGTCATTAATAGGAGCCTTATAAATGTCTAACAAATTTTGGTCAAGTATAAGAAGAGGATTTGAGTAAATGCTAATACCTAAAATAATATACTGCATACATTCATTTAAAATAATGTGCCCACATCTAATGAAATAATGAATCAAAATATCAATACTTTCTGGAATAAATCCATGTTCACACCTATCCATTGATACATAGAATTCCATCATTCCACACAAGCAAGTAACCATCCTTTTCTAATGAATGGGGTTTAGAAATGTTAGCACAGCCTATATCAGTGACTAGAAAGAATATATTTATAAGTAAATAAATTTCAAGTAAAATTTAGATTAAACTATACATTTGCCATGTGTTTGACCAGAATTAACTAATGATACTAATTATTGCATCTAGTGTATCCTTTCCAACATTGTGTTCTCCTTCTAATAATTTAATCACTTTGATTATTAATTGATTTACCAAATAATTAGTTAAATTTTGATCATTCTATCTTGAGGTCCTGATTAAATTAATAGTAATTTAAATTTGTATTACACAAGAACAGTCAGAATGAAAAAATGCTTCTAATAAATGTTGCAATTTCTAAATATTTTCATTATCTTCTGATTCTTGTGAAATATTTGATTTTATAGTTAATTTTATAAAACTTTCAACTTCAGTAATATTAATTTCTAATAAATCTGGCTCATATTCATGATCTAATTCATTATTCAAATCTTCTGAAGTAGAATTAAATTCTGTTGGCCCATTTTTTTTCTTTGATTTTGTAATTCATCAAACAATTCAACCAAATCTAATTCATTATAGATACATCTTTTTTTTTAAATAAAAAAATTGTTTATATTACGGATTTAAAATATTTTTGAAGATACTGTATTTTATATCATTTTCAAATAAAATATGCCATCCTCAGATTTTTATTCAAATCATTTAACAGAATTGCTTCAAAGTATGAAGACCTAGCTTTTTAAAATTCCAGAATGAGTCATAAAAGTTTTAACATTCTGGTCTTCAAATTTAATTTCCATATAAAAGTCTGATTCATTTAACAGATTAGTTAAATCATTTACAAGTTTACTTATATGTTTTAATGAAAAGGTTGTTAATTGTGTATTCATATTCATAAGAAGATATACATTGTCCAATATTTTGTTAAATTGGTTTTGTTATTAAAAGTTTATAAAAGTTACTAATATTACATATAAATTGGTTTTAAAACAACAACAAAATAGTATTTTAATTTTTATCAATTATTTGAAAAACTTCCAATTCATCAAATTTACTCTTAAGTACTATATTGATGTAATTATAAGACTCAGATTTGCTAACAATAGTACCATTAAGACAAAAACAAAGATCCCCTATAATCCACCAATCATCACCAAATCTAGGTAAATGAGAAGGATTACAATGAATTGCACATTTACTATCAATAGCATAACTAAATTGTGCAGTATTAATATCATTTCTATTACTAACATTAAATATAAAACTGTCAGTTGTATTTTTATATCCATATCCATTCCAATTAATGGGATTGTAGCCTCCAACTATTTGATCTGAATTTTGTATTTTCCCAACTACAAGTGTTTTGTTGACATTATCACATTTTTGATGAAACACTTTTGCATTTAAACCATCTCTACTACTACGATATAAAAGTTTAAATTCATATTTTACTTCTTTGAATGAAGTGTATAGTGGATTTTTTTTATCAATATAACTTGCAAAAAGCAATATTAACATTTGATTAATTGTTACTGATTCAAGTTTTGGAAATATTGGTTTGCTATTTTGGATAATTCTTGATGGTAATAAATTTAAAGTTTGTTGTTCATCAGAATCCAGATAATAGTCTAAAAGTTTTTCCCATAAATCCTTTGGAAAAAGTTTCTTAAAAGGCATAAGTTTGGAACGAAAATCTTTATTAGTGATATCTTTAAATCTGATCAATAAAATTAAATCTTTTAATGTGTTTCCCAAATCAATAAAATTTTGCTTTGTCCAAACTTTAACATAATTAATATTATTAATTTCTGGATGTTTGGCTAATCCCCATTTAAGAATTCCTTCCCAAATAATTATTTCATCAGCATAAAAATCATCCCTTTTGAGTATAGCCAATAAAATTGGTTTTTCTAATAATTCAAATTCACTTGACTGAAATAATTTTTCACCATAATCACAAGTTTTTTCTAGGCAAAGATTTTTCAATTCCTTAAATTGCTCTTCATGAGAGTAGATTGATCTTAGGATGCTAATTGGATTTTCTTTAATGTAATCCTCATGTTTTTTGATAAAATACTTCATTGTGTATTCATAAAATGACTCAATACCAAGTTCATCAGCTGCAATCAATAATTGCAATATATCAATTCCAGTATAATTGTCTAATTCAATTTTACAAGTATATAAAAATCTTTTAAATAAAAAATAAAAATAATATTTTATATTAATAAGAATAGGAAATAAAAATAAAATTAAAATAAATAAACATACTTAAGTATAGTTTTAAAGAACATTTCATTAAGATTTGCCTTTTCAATAATATAGTAACCATTTTCTTTTTTTGCATTAGTTAATGCATTTTGAAAAAAAGGACAATGAGAACATATGATTGATGAATGTGCATGAAATTCTTTAATATTTGGTTCTATTCCAACATATATCTTTACATCATAAAAAACTTCAGTGTTTAATAATCTTTCATGCTCATTAAAATATTTTTCATATATTGCTGAATCCATTGTTTTTAAAATTTTGAAAAGAAATTTTTGTGAACAATTACAATTTACACAAAATTAAATTAAAATGATTGGTTCTGCCAATAGATTTTTAAAATTGATTATTTTTTCAAAGTTCTCCAGAAAAACCTTTAAACTATACACCATTGTGTGAATTTGATTCTTATATCATTGAAAATGGAGAAAATGAATTTTTTACATAAACCTTAATAATTTCTTAATTTGTCAAGTTTATATTTTAAAAGTTTTAATCATTCTTTGCCAACAACTATTAATTTTGGTCCCAATCAAGTTTTCCATTAAAAATTAGTATTTTATTTATCAAATATAAATTTATTGCTAAAAATAAAAATAAAAATTCTATTTTATCATATTTACTATATATATATAATGTTGAATGCAAAGTTTTGGAATAACAAAATCCTCGGCCCCATTTTCCATAGATCTATCTCTCATTGACACTGAAGTCATCTTTTTTAACTAGATTTTCTTCAGTGTGATTATTTTCAATAAATTATTTGATTGAACATTTGCAGAATGACAAGTCCAAGTCTGTGAGTTGACATCCATAATTTTATTACATCAATTCCAATATAATTATCAAATTCAGTTTTTCAAAATCAAACGTAATTATATTTTAATATATAACATAATTAATAATTTAATAATTTAATAAATCATGAGAAGGATATTGCTTAATATCAAAAAGGTATTAACATTATTTTGAACATAATATTTAAATATTCGCCTCTTCCTTTAAATAATTTAAAAAAAAAAAATTTATTAATAATACTATCATTATTTACAAAACAAATACTTGTTTGTTTCTTCAAGATAATCGTTGAGATATGCTATTTCTTTCCAACATTATTTGCAATTTCGGTTATATGCAAAAATCAGTTTGAATTTACGTATAATAATAATAATAATAATTTATCAAACTAGTCAACGATAAAAGAAAAACGAACTTTAAAAAAAGATCAAAGTATCACCATCAAATTATGTCAAGAAAAGATTTTATGGTGTAAGGATCCAATGGGTTTGCCTTTACGTGTTACCCTTTGTATTCGAACATATCTAGACTGCAAGTTTCCATCATCTGTAGCAGTTATTCCAATGTCAATTATGGTGAATCCTTAACATCCAATTTAATTCCTAATTTCTTTACACATGTGGTTTCAAGTTTCTTGATCAATTTTCTCAAAATATTGCTATTATTATTCCCCTTTCTAAAATAACGCTCATTCAACATTTATGGAACGAGCACATAATTTATATTCCTGTGCGCAAAAAAATCAAAATAAACCACGCAACCAGAATCCAATACCCAGCGAGAGTGTTACAAACAAATCAAACAAATCGAGCACAAAGAATTCATTTTTATTCAAAACACATATTATACAACGAAATTTGGAATGATTGGTTGAGATATGTAAGGTAAGTGTACCAAGGCTGCGATGCAGGCAATTGAGACCCCTGCTGGAAGAGTATTTTGCTCATCCGTGAAAAGAAATTAGATTGTAAATTAAACGTATTAAAACACGATATTAAAAAACTTGTGTATGGACGGGTATAATAACAATGGGATTTCCTTGTTTTGTTTAATTGTTCCTAATTAAGTAAATTGGAAGGCAAATAGAATATGTGTTCTTGTAGATAAAGCAAAGGATTGAATCTTTTGTGTAGAGGACAATGCCGTGACCTGAAACTCTTTAGTTTAGCATCAGGGAAAAACAAGTTTAGAATAGTTTAGGTTTGGTATTTGTTTAGACTCAGAGTAGGTTCCTCTTCTGGGAACTGGTTAGGGAATTCAAAAAAAGTTTAGGATCACAGCATTGATAAGAATAGAGTGGGCGATGACAATAGTGATTGTAATAACGAAAGAAACGTCAATTAAACATTCGGCACACCTTAAAAGGAATAAGCGATTAAACATTGAGCTGCAGATTAAAACTTTATTTACTATTTTGAGTAGATAGCATTACTATTGTTACTGGTTAGGTAGATTTCTTTCTTTTGCATAAATATACATATTAATATATATTAAAAATAAAGAAAAGATTAATCTATATTATTATGATATTACTAATGTCAGTTATTTTTAAATTGTCGTTGTTTTAGTCGATAACAAAACACTGTAATTTCAGCCCCAAATTTAAAAACATTAATTGATTGTAATGTTTATAAAAAGGGTAACTGAATGGTTAATCATTAATCAATGCATTAAAAACAAAATGTTATTTCTAAATAATAAAATCTTTTTTGCTATGTGATTATGTGATAAAAAGTGAAGTGATGGTAAATTTGTCACAATCAATATTGTCCAGAAATATCACCTCCACACCAGTTCGACTATCATCTTCCTCCACGTAGTTAGTCATTTTCAAAATTTATCACACCTCGAATGGAGATCAATGCATGACATAAATAAATCATATTTCCCGAACCTTAAACATACATATATAAAACAAAAGAGTTTACAAACCATACCATATTAATATTGTGTATATAAGTATCCGCCCACAAAAATATATAGATAATTAATATCAATATCTCGAGAAAATACTCTTGTTGCATTAATCAAATCTACAAGATGGCCGTTAAAGCCTTAAGGTTAATCACACATGATCATTATAAGCCATGAGAAAATTTTCAATAAATGATTTTTGTTGATTTCATAATTTTGTGAACTTCAAGGTGGTAAGTAACGAATGGTAAAAAAAGAATGAATAATTAATTATAATTATATTTTGTATTCAAACTTGAATTAAAACTAGTAAATATTGATTTATGAATGTTGCACACAATCATACTTTCATCATCATTAAGTCATATCATATTAAATTTTATATATATTAAAATATCACACATGTTTCTTTTTCCTTTTAAAAAAAAATTATGAAAAATTTGAATTTAATTTTTATTATTTTTATTTTTAATTTTATATTATTTAACACCACAAATTCATTTTCCTCACTAATTGAAAGACAAGGTGCGAGTGTATTAATATGAATTAAAAGTAATATTAGTTTAATAATAAATATTTTGATTATCATTTATAGATCGTTTTGGGTGCATGAGTTGTCCAAAAGCCGTTCCGACATGTGAACCAGTTTGTAATACTGGTAATGAAACTTGTATAGTAACGGCCAAACGTTGCTTCTCGTGTCCAAGAGCAATGTGTAGATCTACTAAAGATGAATGTAAGGAACAAATTATTTTCATCAATAATTATTTAACATCATTTATTTAATTTACTTATAACCCATCAATATTCCTTTCAGCATGTTTAAAATGTCTAATGTATCCTGAGTGTAAACCATGCGCAGATGATGAAATGTGTGTTATAGAAGAACCAAATTGTTATTCTTGTGGATCTGCTACATGTGTCAAAAAATCTCTTGGTAAAAAAAAAAAAAGAAAATTTTAAAATTCATTAATCCATCCTTGGAAAAAAAAGAAAATTATTAACCAAATTTGTTTTTATTATTAGGGTGTGTTTATTGTACCATGATGATGCCAACATGTCCACCTTGTCATGAATCATATAGATGCCAAATTGTTAAACAAACTTGTTTTAATTGTGCTCAAGCTATTTGTGTTCCTAAAAATTCCTATTAATCAATAGTTTATGGTGTAATTTTTGTAACTAAAGGAAACACTGTGTAATGGTAATAATAAATTAAAAGAATTTGACTTATTTGGGCTAGAAGACTGGTCAGAACCAATCAATCTGATACTAATTAATACTAAGGGGCTCTGATCCTGTTTCATAAACTCTGTTTTGGCATTGATTTACATAATAAAATTTATGCATTTTTTAAGCCCAATATTGATTTTTGTGTATAATTAATATAAAATAATATGTTTGTTATGTTTGTTAGTATTGGAGAAAACACCCACCCCTGGGGCTGGTTAAGCAATTCATTTTTGATGATATCTGAAAAGACTTTTTTGAATTGGATAAACACTTGTTATTAGAAGCTACTTTTTGAACTGAATGATGATTTTGTTGTTGATAATGACGATGTTATTGTCATTAGCAGAAGCTATTTTTGGAAAATTTGATCAGCCAATAAAAATTGGTTTTTATCGTGTAATAAGAAGCTCTGAAATTACTACGCGTGATGTCACAATTCACAGGGCCCAGATCATTATAATTGAAAAAATTTGGGTAGACTTTTAATAAATGGTGTGACTATTTTGGGTATAGCGGAAATTATGGGTAAGGCAAAAAAATAAACAAGGATTAAGAAAGTTTTACGCCCTTTTGCATTTCGAGTAAATTTTCTAAAGACTCTGCTTATTACTAAAATTATTATTATTATTTTTACACAATTGCTTCAAATAATGCTTTTAATTTATTTTGGGTTATTAAGTATCAGTGATGATAAGCAAACATGGTCCGATTTAGCTTTATCCATGTAAAACATGCAACTTCATATGTAACCATTGAAAAATTATCCAATATACTTTTATCTAAAGGATTAAGAAATCATATTAATACAGTTGTTGAGGTTCTTAATAATAGCCTATCAATTGTAATAATCCGGGGGGTCCTCGATTCACAACTCATGTACTCTGTGTAACATTATAACACTTTGCCAAGACAAATTTGAAACAAATTCCCATTTTTTTCTACGGCCTGATATAGTTATGATCAAAAAAAAATTTTAAACCGAACAAAGCTTCCCAATAGAGAAGCCACCCTTTTTGACCTACGATAAAAAAGATTAGAGAATGATGAAGAAAATATATGTTGTTGGACAATAATCAATCTTATCCTTTGATTATCTCCAACACTACCAATTATTAATCCATTTTAATCGTTTCCTTAGATGAAAATGGTTATTCCCAAAGGGTATTACCAAATAAGGAATTTCATTGTGGGTGATAGGGAAGGTACTGAGTTTAAAATTGCATTTAGGCCCCTCGAAACTCTTGAATCCCCGAAATAGTTTTGGGAGAGGAGTCTACTCGGATTTTGCTAAAGTTGGATAAGTTTCGGGGTTTAGGATTTTTATTTTTTTCCTCTAAAGAAGTTTCGATTCGGTCACAGTATTGAGCTAGGCTTGTATGAAACCTAACCTAATAATTAGATTTATTCTATTTTTTTGGAAATAACTTTTAAGGAACTTTGCAACTTGCAAAAGAGATTGTGTTTTTATTTGATTAAACTAATACATAGAAAGACATATAAATAAATAATTTGCCAGAGACATTAAGGAAAATACTCGGAGCCAATGTCATTTATGATTCTTAATCATTTTAATATTGATATTTTCTTCTTCTGCATCATTATCATCATCACCTTTTACCTAAATTGCCAAGTTTTTTTTCTGCAATTTTCAACGTTCTCCGAATAGTACTTTTTACCGCTAATGAGTTACTTTTGATTTATGTTTGACTTCAAATCCTTCAAGCTTTATGGCTCTTTTAAATTTTATAATGAAGCAAAAGCAAATAATCTATAAAAAATTCTTTGTAAAAAGTATGCATAAATTTACTGATATAGACATTTAATGCTACTATACAAAAAAACAAGAAAAAAAGGATTATAAAAATAATAAAATCAAGCAAGGATATTAATTAGATCCCCTGAAATTCTTCAATGTATTCATTGTGGCCATTCCTGGTCCGATCATGACGCAAGAACTGTTGTAAAATTGTATGTATAATAATAATGATAATAGAAAAAAATTGTTTATTTAAATGAAAATTTTCTCGTTCTTTTCTTTTTTATCTTTACTCCTGTCACATATAATTTGCGTTAACGCTTGTGATCCTTGGATTGGAATATTTATTTGTTGAAGTTCTAATTCATTTTAGAAATGAATTAGAAACGCATCATCATTATTTACTGGGAGGCCATAATTATGAAATCCGTTCAATTTATAGTATGCAACTCCAGTGAGAGCTTGTGATGGAGTTTTTGATTTCGGAAATCGAAGAAGATCAAGTTCGGTCGGCTGCGTTATTTCCAATTCATGTAAAAAAACCGGTGTTCCAAATATTATTTGTGTTTCAATAATGCACGAGAGAAAAGTCTTTATGATTTAGAGACATTTGAAAAAGCCGTTGATGAATGGAATGTTAAATCAATTATAGTGACTCGAATAATGAATGATCAGTGAAGCGAGCAATACCCAAGAAATGAAACCTGGTATTAAATTTTCAAAGTCCAATGAAAAGAATTGGAAACTCGTTGACAACCTCCGCCATAAATGTAACGAATGATAAATAAAAGAAGATGTTAGTTAAATCTGGTGTTTAGTAATTAAGGTGCATCTTTTTGCAAGTGATGCTAATAATAGAACAGAAGTTTAATTCCCATCACTATCTCCTCCAAAGGACATAAATTGTGAAAAAAATCTTATTATTTAAGATATTGATTCTTTGGATAATAATAATAGCATAAACCATTAGAGGATGATGATAACAATTTACTATTAAATAACAATAGTAGCAGGCCACGCATTGTCTTAATGTGTCTGGCCAAGAAACCATGGCGGTAATAATAGCTATTATTAAATAATATAAAAACATGAATTCAGAAATTGAATTTTATTCGAATTTACAAAAGCACCAATTGAAAAGGGTGATTTTCATTGGCTGGAAGCGGTTTTACTAAAAATAATACTCATAATGTGCTTTTTTAACAATTTTGGCGGTATTTGAATGCATCGGATGTAAATGTCTGAAATCAGAATCACAAACTTGTATGAATACTAATGCGATTCAATAGACATAAGTATTAATATTAATGAAAATGTTATTCTATATTATAGAAAGAAACGCCCGAGTGCATATCAATTATTATATATACTGTATATTAATATGTAAGAAGAGCAGAAAAGACCTCACAAATCGGGAATTCATTATATACTTTGTGCTCCCAAACAATTATATCATAATTGTAATTGGTTAATTTGAATATGTGAATTCATTCGCTTATATAACTTGCACAATTTGTTTTAGAACATTTCATCACGTCTAATAATATTCTAAACCATTTTTGTATATCTATTTTGTCTTCAGCCTTTTAAGATAATGTGTCAAAAAAAGCGAGCAAAGATATCATATTGATATTAGAAAAGAAGTTATCATAGTTATTATGCAAATGAGATTGTTGTTGAAATTGTCAATACTAATTATGATTAGTCGAATTATTTTGAAACAAATTAGTGAATGTGGGAATTCTGGTTAAAACAATCAAGTTTTAATCGAGAGATTGCCGTATTCTACAATAAATTCAAAAGAAATCAGACAGTTCTCAGAAAAGAAAAAATTTGTCCATTTTTTATTGGAAATTATAGTTGTCGTTATATGCCAAGGGAATTACCAATAGGGCGTATCCTGGCTTCTAAAAATAGATTCAAAGCAAAAACCTGAATATTATCATTATCGAATAATGAAAGAGACCGTTAACATACAGTATCATTATGTAATATTCGATAATTTTAGGAAACTGATTTTTGAATTAAAAAAAATATATATATATATTTATTTAAATGATGAACAATATGGTTTAATTACTAAATCTATGTATTTTTGACCTTATTGTATTTTGATCTTCATTATTCTTATTGATGTTAATTGAGCAATAAAGACTTTTACTTCTTTCAACCATATCTTTGCCTACACTACGATCAAATTTCATTCCATATTGACCTTTTTTGATAATTCCTCCCAACATTCTTAATGCCAAGGGATGATTTAACTTGGCAGCATGTCTCAAATATTCCAATGCTACTTTAAATCTCTCGTTATCCTGTTCTTTTGCTACTAAACTACCATTTAGTATCATATTTGCATACCAATATTGTGCATCTATTTGATCTAATTTTGCTGCCTCGCACAAATATTTCGTAGCTTCTTTAGCATTCGGCCTCCCATCTCTACCTTCGTGATATCCTTTATAATAATAAAATCCTACCCAGAATTTTGTTTCAGGTGTAGAATTATTTTTTTCTAAATCACTGAAAATCTTCCATGCTTTTTTGTATGATTTATCCTTGTGAAATTGAATCGCCTTTTGGATATCGTAATTCTTTTTATTGAACGGATTTAATTGTTTTTTTGATCTCTGTTTATATTGTTGTTGGTCTTCAGTATCAGGTAAATTGGTTGGCATGTAATATTCAATATCTGCGTCATATATTGATGATGCATTGGATATTATAGATTTCCTATCCGAGTTATCAGCTGATAACAATAAATAAATTTCGTCATCAACTGTTTCAACTTTTTTGTTTGCAATGTAAGCAAAATCCAATGCATCAAGTATAGGAACCATTTCTTCGATTGTTGGTCTATCATTTGGTCTGTTGCACCATCCGTGTTCTATCATTTGTTGAAGTTTCTTTGGTGTCCCAGAAACTGATCTTGGTGTCGGCCTTTCACCAATGATTATTTTTGTGCTCAACTCTTCTTTTGATGTAATATTTTCAAATGGCAATTGATTTGTTGCAATTTCCCATAAAACAATCGCAAAACTATTTTATAACAACAACAACAAAAAAAGTAAAATTTTTATCAATTACGATTTTTTTTTTTTTTAAAAAAAAAATGAATATAATTTTTAGTCACCTATAAATTTCACTGGCCTTTGTATATTCTTTACCATTAAGTCTTTCGGGTGCAGACCATCTTTCATCAACCGGATCATTAGCTGACTTTAATATTATCGGTGATTCTTTTTCTGTGCGAAAGTTATAAAGTTTCGGTTGAAAATGCAAGTCCAAAAATATATTATCACTAAAGAAGGGGGAATAAGAAAAAATTGACTTTATTATTAATTATTTAAAAGAAAAGAAAAAGAAAAATACCTTTGTAAATCATAATGCAAAATATTTTGATCATGACAAAATTTGATTGCATTCGCTATTCCATGAGAAATAGATAATTTTTCCGACCAACTGAGACGTCCGGGTCGTTCAGCAAGTATAGTTTTAAGATTATATTCTCCCCATTGTGATATAAGATATAATACTGTTGAACGTTGACAATATCCTTGACTATATAATTTATAACAGTATTAATATATATATATATATATAATATAAGCAAAAAATATAAAAATTATAAAAAAGACTCACACATCTAAAATGTGATGACATTCTGAAAGCTTTTTCAAGAATCCAATTTCTTCCTTTAATTTAATAAATTCTGGTCCATCTACATATTGTTTACCAGAAGAGATTGATTTTTCTGCAACTTTTCTTACCCTTACATACAATTTTTGCACTACTTGCTTTCTACTACCACGGATGATCGGTGGGTCTATATCTAATATGTGTTCAGGTTTGATCTCATCAGCATCAAAAGAAGTTGATGATTTATGAAGTGTTATTATTTTTGTGAACAATTTAATTTTTCTTTTAATTTTATTGTCCCATTTTCTACGACCACCACTATTATTATTATTATTATTATTATTATTAACGTTGACTGCTTGTGTATCTTCCCCTGCTTCTTTCTTATCTTTTACTCCAAGTAATTTTGACAATTCATCATTTAATTTTGAAATTTCTTCTTTAATTTCTATTTTCTTTTTATCATCATCAACATTTAGATTATCAAGAGTTTTTTCGATGTTACGCAAACAATCATTAAATTTTTGAAAAGTTTCGTTTTCTCCCAAACTAAAATCTTTGTTTATTTCAATTCCTTCTATCAAATCTTTGCACGATTCCAAAATTTTAATTTGATCATCGGTGATTATCGAATCTTTTAATAATTTTTCAATTGTGTTTTTTGTTTCTTTGATTTTGTTATTGTCATCGTTGTTATTATAAATATTGATATCATTACTATTAAAAATTGGAATATTGTTATTGGTCGAGTCAATTGGCGAACTGACTAAATAAAATTGATCATTTGGTAAAATTTTGGTTTCAAGAACTAAGGTTGTTGCCATTTTTAATATATTTTAAGTTTATTATTTTAAAAAATTATAAAAAATAATTAAGGTTTTTTTTTTTGAGAAAAAAATTATTTTGCAAGATGCATATTTATATCATAATTAGTTGTGTACACTGCATTTTTTTTATATATAATAATTTTTTTTTTTATAAAAATTATATGCAAACCATTA